TATCGATGTATGCAGATGTATTCAAAAGCAGTAATCTGTCAAAGTAAAATTTCCAGATGTTCATGAAAGGTATGAAGCCTTCGGCATAGCCGAAGACAGCGCTGCTCTTACTTGTTTTTAAGTAATTTTATGCCGACTTTTTAGGAGGAAGTCAGATATGCGAACAGCAGGCTATCCTTATGGCGCAATGTGGAGCAGCGTGTACTAGAAAGACTATAACTGCCCTTTACGCCTGAAAATCAGATATATGAAAAAAAAGTTGTTCTATGGCTCACCAAGGTACACGTGGTGGCGTACGTGCGAAGCCCAGCGGCTTGACTCTCAACACCGACAACAGCTCTATAGGCATTGCTTCATTCTTTACTATGGGCTTATATGGGAATCTAGATGAAAACTATGTGTACTTTTAATAGTTGTATGCATTTACACTGTATGAAGACTTTGTAAAATAAAAGCGGTTTACCTGGTTCTTTTCTTAATTAAAAATCGGGCACCGGTTGTTTTACAACTTGCAATTTTCCGAATAACTCGAAAACCGGTTTATGGAAAAATGGCATATAATCGAACACCTTACTACTGACGTTTATTACCTACTACAAGAAAAAAAGGATCTTTATTGTTTTAAAGATAAAATTTTTTGCGTTAAATGTCTTCAGTTCTTTCTGTGGCCTATTATATAATTTGGGTGGTCTCGTGATGGCTTTCGTTAGGGGCCTCAGCCCCCCTTGATTCACTTCTGAGTACAACATTGATTTTATGACGAACGGCGAATTGGTTTCACTTCTAGGGATATTAAGAATACAAGGAGTAGGAATGTTAATGATCCCGGAATCCCGGGATTTTCCAGATTTGTAATTTGCACTGATGGCAATAATAGAAACCTTTCCTTTTCTCGACCAGTATTGGCTATATTTATTTTTTTATTTAATAATTAATATTTTTTCATAAATGTCTAGCTCATTATACACACAACACCGTGCGATAGTAAATTTAACACACAACAATCAATATATTCGTGAAACCATGGGTAAAATATTGTAAAACTGCGTTTTTAGTTTTTCACGCTGACGTAAGCAATTCCAAATGATTAAAAAAATCCAGTGAAATGTGGTTAGAGAAGAAGTATGGATATCAAGTTAAAAAAGAAATTCTGTAGAATTTAATCAGACTAAATTTTTTTGTGCATATGGACTGGTAAGTATTGAAAATGTCCTTTTAAAATTTGTTCCTTGAAATTTCGCAATATTTGTTTTTGAAAAAAATATATGTTAAGGACTTATATAAACTCGATAACATCCTCGAATTTCGTCCTTCTAACTTTATCAGCTTAAAAAATTACTTATTCGTCCTTGTGAATCCAAAAAATTTTAATTTTTTTTAATTCTAAAAAATTGCCTTCCTTCTTTCCTTCCATTTATTTGGTACCCATATTTTTAATCTGCAATGTATTGAATTTTATAAATAATTTTTGGAATTAATCATATCTTTGAAATTACAAAGTCCTTTAAATTAAATCCTGACGTCAGAGAGACAAAGTAAAAACGCCACCTTAAATAAAAAAGTACGTTTCAAACCCACTTATTTATTATTATATATTATGGTAGGATGAGTTAGCAGGGGTCGTTGTATCGAATCCCACTGAAAGAAGTCTGATGGGGAAATGTGGTGATTTACGAAATAGCTATCACTTCTATAATTTTTTCAAATTATTGTTGCTTTTCCACAATAGTTTTTCCATTAAAAGCGACCTCAAGCTCAATAAAAATTGTAGAATATAATTGTTATAATGCCATAAAATACAAAAACAAAGTAGGATAGCTTCTCAAACAAATTAGAAGCAATTTTTTCGATTTAAAAAGTAATGAATATCTAAATCCCGGGACTAAACCTGGGATTGTGATAACGACATCCCGAAAATCCCGGGATCGAAAAAAGCCAAAAAATTAACATCCCTAACAAGGAGCCTCTATTAAAGCAACATAATGCGCCTTTCGGTCCAACTGTGCCAACCTCTCAACGCTGGATGAGGGCACCTACGATAATCCATTCTAACATAACCCATTCGATCCCAATCCCATAGTTCAAATTCAAAAGCACTGTTTCAAAGTCACAAGAGTGTGAAATCGTAAGTTGGTATGTAGTATGTACATATGTAAGTGATACCAAAGTAAATGACTAGTTCAAGTGGGGGTGAGCTACTACTTACTAGAGTGAAAGTGTAATCGCATTTGAAATCATTAATGCAGTCGACACAATCATTCGATGAGTACAAATTTAAATTATGTTTGCTTATTTAAGGTTACAGTGATTGTGGCGGTATCTCCTGCTGCAGCTGTCAGCACTGGTGGTACATACATACATACATACGTAAGCCTAATGTTATTCTACTTAGCATTTTCTCCAATTTGCTTTAATTTGGTAAATATGTGGTGGGATAATAGATATGTACTATGGAAGTAGGTTTAAGTGACATTGCCAACACATTCCAAAATAATGCATATGTGGGCACGCACAAATTCATAAGCATGTATATATGTATATCACACACATACATACAAACAAATTAAAATTTCAAAATCAATCAAATGGACATGAATAAATGGGGGATATTCGCTTTTATAGCTTACAAATGTTATAAACAAAAATATATGTGTATATGTAAGTTTGGGTCAGTCCATGTCTACTCGACTAATACACTATGGGTAATTTTAATTAATTATGGCCAAACAAGCAGATAGCTAAAAAACATACATAAGTTTTTTATTGATTGGAATTCGATTTCCCACTATTTTGCAAAAAAAAACCTTAACCCTTGACGGCCGATGGGTCATAAGGTGCCACTTTTTAATTAGTGGTTTTATTGAAAAAGTTTGAATGCAGTTTTTTATAAATATTTATATTGAAGAAAAAAATACAACCTAGTTACAAATGCAATTCATAGAGTGGCTAAATTTAAAAAACAAACTTTGCGAAATTATATTTATTTCAATTGAAAACCTGAATACTCAGAATTTCCTAATTTATCCGCTGAAAAGTTAAAAGGAGTAGCCTTTGCAGCAACAAAATTGTAAACTCTTTTTTAAGTTCTCCCCTCTAAATAGTACACTGATGACAGTATAAGACAGTATAGTATACCTACAAAAAGTGTCATTTTCTCTGATGACGAAAAAAAGCGCAAAATTAAATTTACAGATTAAACCCAAAACTCTTAATTTTACACATTTTTGATAGTCTTGACACGGCCTAATACGGCGAATACTTAAAAGCATTTTCAAGTATAATTTTTAAGAAAAAATAAAAATTAATTAAAGGGTATATCGGAAATATGTATTTTTCACCAAAAAAAAAATCTATAAAAGAAAACAGTTAAAGATCTTTAAAGTATTTACTTTTCTGTTCATTGCCGATAATTTTGGTAATTTTTTAGATAATTATTATGGTTTTTCGAAAATAGTTAAAAATCAGAACACAATATCGATTCCGATATTTCACTCACAGACAATGACTTCGACCACTTGATAAGCAGCTGTCGTTCCATTTACTTTTGTAAGTACGAAAAACGACTTTAGGCCATATAAACTGATCAAATTTTCTACAGTGCAATGGTTGGCTGAATTACTTAAGAACTTTTCAATTATAATGTAACGAAGTTCTGCCAAAGCAAACAATTAATTTTTTTTGCTAAAATTATGCATAATTATAAAATACACAATTTCTCAAAAACTATTATATGTAGTTCCATAAACGGTATTTGTCTCGTTTGTAAGGTGATACCAAAATTCGAAAAATACAAAAATTGCAGAATTTCGAAATTTCAACATTTAGAAATTTAAAAAATTGTAAAAGCTAAAAAATATATTTTTGCTATTTTATTTTATACAGAACCTCTAACTGAACTTAAATGATCCTGAAACTTTTAATGTATATTGATATATAAATTTCTGAACCTTGAAAAAACATTTTTTTTTTGCAAACTCTAAATAAAGTTGGGTTAAACAGTTTTTATTAAATTTAAATTAATTTTTAATTTAGGATTTGCAAAAAACAAATGCAAAGTTCGAAAATTCTTAAAAAACAACACCTTTTTGAAAATTTCAGGACCTTTTAAGGTTAGTTTGAGGTATTGTATAAAAATCCCAAAAATTTACTAAGGGCTTTTACGATATTATAGGTAATGCCTCGTAATCGCATAAACCTCGTAAATAAACCGATTTTACATACATTATGTAAGTTTACGAGATTTTTATGGTTACGAGGCATTTACACATTTATATGAATTGCCCTATTTTAAATTTCAAAATCCTGTAATTTATTTAACCGACTTCAAAAAGAGAAGGAGGCCATCAATTCGTCGGAACGTTATTCTTATTTTTATTTTTTTTAAGTAGTATAAAACTTGGAATCCCCAGGAAATTTTGATCTTTCAAAAAAATTAATTTCTTTGGCAGAACTTTGTTATATGATAAAAGAAAAATTCTGACCAAAATTCATCCAAATCAAAAATGTTCCATTCCAACCATTAGTCTATTTGCTATGGATTCACCCGAACGTACATATTTGTGTGCATGTGTGTGTGTGTGTTGCATGCATCCTTGTTCCCGCAACATTGACAGCAATCAACCAAGACACACATTTAAACAATCTACGAATGCAAAGCTGTCAACGCAGCCCGCAGCCCGCACCCCCGCACACACCAGTCATGGCCTTGCTAGTGGCAATAAATGTTTGAGTGCTTTCACAAACATTTTGAACTTAAATTAAAATCCTTTATTGACATATTAATTTGCACAGCACATAAAGAGAATCAATCAAACGCAAAACAGGCAATTCAGACACCCACACACTTGCAGTCATGAGAAGATTATTTAAACGCAATCTAAATATGTACGAGTATGTTGTTGTTGTTTTTTTTTTATACATAATTATCAGCAGCAGGATGGCATTTAAATTTGTATTTATTTTTGTTATTTGTATTTCTTGTAAATTTTTATTATTCTTACCGCAACCGCCTCGATAAATCCATTTTGTTGATTGTTGTTTAATTAACTGAGATTTGTGAACGAACGTCTTTGCTCAGTTGAACTTTATGTATGTAGATTTAAAATAAAGTGAAATTGAAAATAATTTTTAAAATAATTTTCCACATAAAAGTTTCGTCTTGTTTTTGCATACAAAATATATTCCAATAACTTTCACTGCATTCAATGTACGTGTGTGTGTGTGTGTGTGTGTGTGTGTGTTTGTTTTATAATCCAACTGCTTTACAATCCATTAGTTATACACATACACATATATTTAGACTTGCTTTCAAGGATATCTATATATTTTTAGCACTTTGAAAAAATCCTTAAACGCTTTAGCGTATTAGTGTTTAACAGTAACAGTAAACGAAAATATGCAAATGTGCATTCACAAATGTATATATATATATGCGCACATATGTATGTATTTAGATAAAATTAAATTCACAACCAAAATCCAATTTAACTACATATAGTCCTGCTTGGCGCAAGGACCTTTCTTGCAGCGGGTTCGCGAACGCGAGCGAAAAAAGAAAACACACCCGTTGGACAGGAACGCCAACACGCAACTGATCACATCGCCGGACCAAGCGATCGCACTTAGTGGATACTCGGCATAGCGGCGCGCACGATCAATGGCCCAACCCAACAACGACAACAACAACAACAACAACCACAGCAAGGGGCCCCCAGCCTAAACGAAAGCAACATGGATTGGCTTCCATTCGTCCATACATACATACATACATACATGTGCCTACATACATACGGGCATATATATGAAGCGTCAAAAGCAAGCGCGCCGCCTCAACGCCAGAACGATCTTTAGTCTAAATCCAGCAGCGATCTACATATACATAGGAACAAACATTTGGAGCAATCGGCGTTGGATACGCATACACTTATGCGTTCGGATGTATGTAAGTATGTATGTATGTAGGTGATTGCGCTTCCGCTTCTGGCGCGACGCGCCACAAGTGCCGAACACCATCGGCTGCCACTCAAATATATCTTCATACATATGTACATATATATATGTACGCTTAGTCCACCCAAACACCCACTAGCATTAACCGCGCACACATCTATAATACCATACTCACACATACACATGTATGGTCCGAAACCGAATACAGATGGCAACACTAGGAACAGCCATGGGCCACCACCACCACAACTCTACGTGGAACTGGACGGATATTATTTGATAACACAATTCTACACTTCGTTCGAATAAATATATTCAGCTGCCCATTGTTTTGTAGTGATTATTATAAGTATTATTATTTGTTTTTCTTTCTTTTGATACTCTTATCCATACATTAAATTCGCCTTGTACATATTTTCTGTAATTTTACTCTTTTTTTAATGAGTAGTTAGTTACTTGAAGCAAAATGTTTTCGCTTTAATTATTTCAAAGTTTATCACTGCGCGCCGTTTTTACAAAACATGCGTTACATAAGCACAAACACATGCAACACAATTTGCACTAAAGGACACAAACACTTGCAACAAGTTTGTATGTACAGAGGCGTACATTTGTTCTAGTTTTGACTTATATAAGTAAGCACATATGTAAATACTCGTACAAGTGTATAACTATGTAAATAAGTATAAATGACTAAGTCGCTTGCTCGCAGCAGTCTCTCGATCGTGTGTACATACTTATAGAATTTTTTGCGCGCCTTCAATTCCGAATTGCAACTTTTACTGCTGTTACAAAAATATCACAGATAATGGCATACATACACATACATACATACATACAAACATAAAAACCAAGCCACAAAAGTATGCGAATTTGACTGCTACTCAGATGGTGCTAAGTCAAAAAGATACAAAATCTGGCAGTTTACTGAATGAGGCAGCGGCGAGCCACGCGCATCCGTCGCACGATCGAGCTGCAGTGCACACGTTGTGTTGTGTGAATAACGCCCGGCAGGTTTGGCAAATATTTAGCCATACAGCGTTGGAGCAGCATGTAGCCGCTAGTTTTCGACTACACGAGACATGAGGCACTTAGCACATACTTGGACCCACATGCTTACATATATGTATTTACATATACTATCTATTTCGCCAGTCAGCCCAGACAATTGCCGCACAGTGATCATCTGCATCGCATGTTGTTCGCACTTGTTGTTTGATTGCTTTTTCGCTGAAGAAGCGCTCATGTTGCGCGTTGTGCTTTGCTGACTTATGCTCTTACATTTATGTACATACATATGTATGTAGATATATATATATATATGTGTATTTTGCACTCTCATTTGATTGCGATCGATACTCTCGGCGGTGAGTTAGAGATCATGATTTTCATTGTGATTTAAAAGGCGGGAAATATTAAGGTGATGTCGAATGAGGTGATGCGACATAAATCTGATGCGGTGATGTGATGTTGATGTTGATTTCTCAATGAAATCGATGGTTTCTGTTACACATACAATATTTTAGTGTTTACGACGAGCTACGGGCCACAGCTTCCAATTTGTTATCTTAATTATCTGAACCAGCTGTGCCCAGCGCAGGGCACTTGCTTATGGAGGATGACTTGACGCGGCTGCGACATCAAGAATTTGTATGAGTTTGACATAAAATAAGAGGAAGAACCTTATCTGTCAGTTTTACGCCGACTCCGAACGGCGATTGTATTTTTATGAGAACCTGTTTTTCATGGCAGAAATACACTCGGAGGTTTGCCATTGCCTGCCGAGCGCGACGACTGTTAAGAAATAACTTTTCCTTTTCCTTCATTTTTGGTATTAGTCGGAAACCGGGCTTTTGTTAGGTTAACCACCAAGCCATGCGCCTTATATCTCGGTTTGGTTGTGAAAAAGAACAGTAAATTGAATTTTTATGAATAGACTATGGTGAATTAAAAAAAATATGGCACGGAATTTGTGTGACACTTTGTGCTACGCAGAGGTTTAATTAGTGATAGAACGATACGAGTAACGAGTACAGAATATCGATACTTTTCATGAGTACTGAGTAGTATCGAGGAATCGATACTTTTCGACAAGTACTGAGTAAATATCGCGAATACCAAAAAGTATCGACGTTTAAAAAACTTGTTTAGGTAAAATAAAAATGTTTAAAAATTACCCCATGGGCATAACGCTCATTTACTTCAATACTGTCATAACTCAAAAAACCGCAAAATTAATATACATTTATTTTGTTTTGGTGAGCTACTGGTAATCGCTATGAAAGTTTTATACAACATAGAAGAAGAGGTAGCACTTCTTAAATAATTGGGAAACGAATCTCTTGCATACCTTCCATAACACAGGCCCACACAATAAAGTGGTATTTTCTTTAAACTAGACCCACATATCGACATGTATTGAGGTCCATTTGACTCGTACACTTCCCAAATTAGGAGTTAATTGCGAAAATAGTGAAAAAATGGCAAAAACGAGTCAAACTGCCTCAGATTCGGATTCAGTGGGTTGAAATACGTGGCGGAAAGTGGGTCTAGTTAAAAGCACACACACATTTTTTTTTTGTGGCGGTGTAAGGAATGGTCCTAATCCATTGGTCTTAGGCTCGATAACTTGAAAATTCTCCAGAATAACGGAGCCTTCATTTTCCAATGTATTCTACCTTGGTTTTAAATTCGAAATCCAGCCCGCTTTCGAAGAAAATTTTTGTGAAAGGTAGCTTATCTTTCCTTTATACAAGGCTTTAGTTCAGCGATGGGTAGAGAGAGCTTTTACTCTGCTCGCGCCTATACAAAATGTATAGAAAGCTTAAGAGAGCCTTGCCCGCGTGCAAGGCGGTGGCCATCAGTGCTTTAGTTGCTTTTAAAAGCTTCAAATAAACATTTTTTTTGCTATAAACATTTATTTTACGCTTTTAAACTTATTGCAAGTTCTTTTCCAAAACTCCGTTAGAAATGCTTGTTAGATCTGACTTCAGCTATTAAAAGTAATGTCTATTCAATTTACAAAAAGAAAGAGGTCATATGTATATTTAAACAAAGCAATCTGATTTTTGTTAACTTTTCGCGTTTGCCCTAAAAATACTTGGAAGTACGAGTATTATCGACACTTTTTTGCAAATATGAGTACTGGCATCGATTCTTTTTTAGAGTATTATAAATGAGTACTAGTATCGATACTTTTCTAAAAAGTTCTATCACTAGGTTTAATTCTAAGGCAAAAACTAAGCCTAAGATAAATGCTAAGAGAAAAACAAAGGCAAAGACGAATACGAATAAGAATCCGAAGAGGAACGCGAAAACACGAAATACGAAGACAAAGACCAAACGAAATGAAGCAGAGGCAAAGGCTAAGACGAATATGAAGATGAAAAGAAGTCGAAGACAACTACAAAGACAAAAATGAATCGAGGACGAACATCACGACCAAAATTAAATCGAAAAATATTAATTCGATTGCCAGAATGAAGATAAGACGATTGAAAACTCGAATTCGGAAACGAATACGAAGCCGAATATAAAATCGTGCTTGGCGACTTCAATGCCAAGGAGCGCAAGGAAGCGATCTTCTCGAACTATGGTCAGAAAACTCAGCCTTTACGTCGAACCTACCAGTAACGGACCAAGGCTTAAGACTTCAGCGGATCCCGAAACATGGTAGTATGCTGTACCAGGTTCAAGCATAAAAAGATCAATTAAACTACATCGCTGTCTCAAGATCGAAATACGAGAAAACGAATCGATCATGCTGTAATAGACGAAAAGCAGGCACCCAGGGTTTTAGATACACGCATGGGCGTAGCCAGGTAGGGGCAGGGGGGTGATCGAGCCCCCCCTAACCTTCAAATTTTCCTTATATATATATATAAAATAGTACCCCGAAATGCCAGCTTAATAGGGTCGAGCCCCCCCTAAATTTCATTCTGGCTACGCCGATGGATACACGTATACTTCGAGGCCCAACATCGACTCGGACCACAATCTTGTTGCAGCCAAGATACGCACCCGCTTCTTTGCAGCAAAAAAAATGTGCTCCAAAAATGCAAGGAAAGCCTAACGTCGAAAAGCTGCAGTCACAAGAGCCGGCTTTCTGAGAATACTCTTCAACAAACCGATATATGCGAGCAGGGGAACCACATTTATGCCGCCGAAGAAATAGTTAGATTTCAGCGAGCCCGAAAGAAGAACTATGTATGTAGTACGATGAGGAGTGTCAAGAAACTGCAGAGAAAAAAGATGCCGCCTACAAGGCCACAGGCGATTGGGCGTAAGAACAAAAATAGCAACACAGGGACTGATGTAAGGATGTACTTAAATTACGGAGGGAACACTTTTTCACCCTACTGAATGTTAGTAACACGGAAAGTTGTGGATAAGACGAACCGGAGCCCCCAGTTAATGATGACGGAGTCGAATAGCAATAACGCGGCTGAAAAACAAAAAAGCTGCTGGAGCTGACAGCCTGCCAGCTGAGCTATTCAAGTATGCCGGCGAGGAGTTGACACCCACGTCACTATTGACATTTATAATTTGGAGGAAATTGAGAATTAAGTTTACATGGAAACCAGCATTACCACCGATAAGGGCAGCATGGAAACTCAACGCAGAATGACTCTTGCCAACAAGTGCTCCTT